ATCTACAGGTCTCTGTCTGTGTAGTCCTGGCTGTCCTGGAACTCTCTCTGTAAACCAGGCTGGCCTCAAATTTATAGAGATCCACCTGCCTCTGCTTCTCAAGTGCTGGGATTAAAAGCCTGGCAACCTTAGTTTGTTTTATGTTTTGTTTTGTTTTTTATGAAACAGTGTAGTAAAAAAAATGATTAATACCTATATCATAGAAATATGAGAATTAAAACACCATGCAAAATACCTATTGTATAGTGAGCATTTTTGATAAACAATTTACCATGATTTGAAGAAAAAAATGAAATATTCAGGCTTACCTTTATCATGCTAAGAGTGTACTCATCTCTAAATTTCAAAAGTTGACAGTGTGAGTTTTCATTATCTTTTGGGAAAAAATCTAAAGACATAAAATTTTTTAGAAATATCAAGGATTAATATTTAGCTTAAATAGTACTTATATTTGTTAAAAAATCTATCATTCATGAAATACATAAATAAATATAATTAAACAAAATCAACAATGAACATTAGAAACTCATATGTGTATTGGCATTCCCTAAATATACCTTAGAATGCTGATGCTTATTCTTGCAACAAATCAGACAGCACTAAAAGATCCTTTGCATATTGAATGATGTGACTCGGGTTATTAATTTCCAATATAAAATTGTGGTTCTTCTCCCGGTCTTTCATCAATTTCTAACACTTCAAATAAACAACAACAAAAAAATCCTTGGAAGCTGTCTTAATTAGGGTTTTATAGCTGTGAAGAGACACCATGATCACAGCAAATCTTATAAAGGAAAACATTTCATTAGGGCTGGCTTACATTTTTAGAGGTTTAGTCCATTGTCAACATGGTGGGGAGCATGGTGGCATGCAGGTAAACATGGTACTGGAGAAGGAGCTAAGAGATCTACATCTAGATCCACAGGCAGCTGAAGGAGACTGCTGCACTGGGTGTGGCTGGAGCACATAAAATGTGAAAGCCTGCATCCACAATGATACACTTCCTCCAACAAGGCAATACCTACTCCAACAAGGCCACACCACTCCTATGGACCAAGCATTCAAACACATAGTCTATGGGGACCATTCCTATTCAAACCATGGCAGGAGCACTGATTCTTATTGATATGTAGAAGCCCTTGCTGTAAGAGCAGAGAGTGGGACCATCTGGAACAGCAAGTCTATTCAAGCAATGTAGTTAAGTAGCTCCCAAATACCTGATCTCCAACCTAAAGTCTGCCCTTATTTTGAAACAGGATTTAGATAAAAGTCTTTGCTTGTGACATTCAACCAAATGCAGAATCACAAGTCACTATACATTGCTACAGAAACATTATCTACCTACAAATTTGACAAATGGAAAGAATGATTTTAGAATCAAATGGGACTTGGCACTAACTTCTTCCATCGCAATCCTTGCTTCTCATAAAACAGGAGGCTTATAGGTCAGCTAAGTAAAATGGATAGATTTAGGCTTTTTTCTCAGAAAAAAGAGACTAGAGAGATCAACTTCTAGTATGAGAATTCAAGGAGTTTTCAGAACCTACTCCATGGGGAAATTGTTTTTAAAATGTCTTATAGTCTCTGGGAAAGTGTGCTAAGGCATATAGCAAATGGGCAAATGAACTTAACAATTTCAGCTGTAGCTGAGCTTAGAGAAGTTCAACTCTAATGACATACTCAAGAACACCAGTGGTTACAGAGAAAGGTCTAGAAAACGTTGATGGATTCAATCAGATACATGGGTTAAATTGTGCATTGGTTGCATTGTGGGAAAGTACTGGAGGGAGAGAAATCCAGGGTCCTCCATAGCTCAGAATAAGTTCTGAACACTGACTTCAGAATTAGCCCTTGACTATATGACAAGAAGGGCAAATTACGCCCCCAAGAAGTTGTCCAAATAATAATGTAATCAGCCAGCAATTCACAGAGATTAACAGCTGGGTAGGATCCAGGAGAGTAAAAGGAAGTCTAGACGACACTGCCTCCCTAGGGTGGTGGTGTGGGCTGGGGAAAAGAAATGGAATAAGAGGAGATTCCCTTCCAAGGCATGCCCTCAATGGACCACTTCTTCCAACTGAGCTCCACCTCCTAATATCCCATTCAACTCTGGATGTATCAGTGAATTATCTACTGATAAAGTTAGGATTCTCATAATTCAATCCCTTCTCCATGACTGGAGCCACCAGCAAGGGACCAAGCTTTCAAGACATAGGATGAGACACTAAATACCCAAACCACACCATGAATCCAGCAGGCTACTCACAAGTAGTTCTAGAAGAACTAGAGCAAACCATAATTGATGATATAAAGAAAGGCTTGGTGACAATGTTTGATCAAATCAAAAGCATTGGTGGATAAATTGCAAAACATAACTCCTTGAAATTACAGAGCTAAAATATACAATAAGTAAAATAAAACACTGACAACAGGGGCTCCACATTAAATCTGGGACTAGTAAAAGAAAAAAATTGATAAATCAGAGAAAAAAAGCATGAAGAAAAACACACAGTACCAATGAAATCTGAGTTTTCATTAAGCTTACTACACATTCATGATAGGAGTAACAGAGAAAGGGGAGAGAAGGAAAGGCAGAAGAAATAAGCAAAGAAGTAATAGCTGGGGTTGACCAGATAGCTTAAAGGGTAGAAGCTCCTTACCAAGTGTGCTGGAATCCTAGGAATCTATGGAAAGGTGGAAGGAGAGAACCGGCTACACAAAGTCGCCCTCTGACCTCCACAGGAGCCATGAAAAACCCTGGTGTGGATGCTCATGCCCAAGGACCCAGCATTAGAGAAGCAGAGACAGGTAGATCCAGGAGCTCACTGGCCAGGCAAGCACCAAAAGAGTGAAAGACACTTCTCAAGGTAACAAAACAAGGATCAGTAGAGGAAGACATTATGCCACTTTCTGGTACACACACACATACTTAAATTTAAAAAAAAAAAAAAAAGAATAGTTTAAAAGTCTTCCAAATTGGACTGGAAAGATGACTCAGCAAATAAAAGCACTTTCAGTGAAAGCACTAGGACTTGAGTTCAAATCTCTAGTCCTAAAGTAGAATCTGGGCATAGTTGTGTATGCCTGTAACCCCAGTGTGGACACAGAGACAGGTAGATCCTGGGAGCTCTGTAACCAGTCAGCCTCATTTAATCAACAAGTTTCACATGTGATAAGACATCCTGTCTCAACAAATAAAGTGAAAAATGATACAGGAAGATATGAAACATCTTCCTCTGGCCTGTACATATGCACACATGTACATGTGTGCCCACATACACATGTATACACACACAGAAATATTCTTGAACTTTATTAGGGAACATTCAACACATCCAGGTTGATCAACCAACTCCCAGTAAAAGAACTATAAAGAGACCCATAGCCAGGCGTGGTGGCACACGCCTTTAATCCCAGCACTTGGGAGACAGAGCCAGAAGGATCTCTGTGAGTTCGAGGCCAGCCTGGGCTACAGAATGAGATCCAGGACAGGCACAAAAACTACACAGAGAAACCCTTTCTTGAAAACAAAAACAAAAAAAAAGACCCATAAATAGAATATGCTAGTAATATGAGAGGAAGTATGTTGAAAATCAGTAAGAAGAAAATTGTGAAAGCAGTGAGAAGAAAATGATTTATCAAGATTAATTCCCAGCTTCTCATTAGAAACAATGGAAGACAGAACATGCTGTAATGCCTTCAGAGTGACTAACAGTTTGTCAACCAAGACTCCCAAAACCAAAAGTGATCTTTCAGAAATGAAGGCCAAGAAATCTCTTAAGTTAAAGAGAGACTGAGAAAATGTTTGCTCTCAGACACACCACAAATGTAAGTAGAAAAGAGACGTGGAGGGCTAACAGCCAGCGACCCTGGATGATGGATGACCCAAATCCATATGAAAAGTCGGGGGCAGCAGTGTGGCTGATTGTGTTATGAAAGATGCTGTGTGTGCACTTCCCCTTTCTTCTCTGCGTTTCACCAACCAGTAACTGTAAAAATTCCTGTGGACCAAACACTGGATCAATAATGCAAGAGGCATGTGATATGTTTACAAATAACAGCACCAATGAAGTGAGTGACAGCTATACTGGACTAAGGAAATTCTCCCAGATGCCATGAATAAGGGACAGATTACAAGGACCCAAGTGATAAAGGGGACTACCAGAGCTGAAGTTGTAAGCATGCATTTGCTCTGCTTTCTTATTACAGCTTCTTTAAAAGTTGTCAAATTATATAAAGTAATAATTTCAAATTATATTGTTGAGTTTGAAAATGCACATAGCCCAAACCTGAAGGAATGGAAAAAGGTATTCCACACAAATGGCAATCAAAGGAGTGGCCTAAACTTATAGTTAACAAAAGAGACATTCAGAAATGGTCACAGACATAGACGTCATAAAATGATAAAGGACTCTGTCTTAGTTAGGGTTTCTATTGCTGTGACACCATGACCACAGCAACTCTTACAAAGGAAAACATTTCATTGAGGTGGAGGCATACATTTTCAGGATTTAGTCCATTATCATCACGGTGGGGAGCATGGTGGCATGTAGGCTGACATGATGCTGGAGAAGGAGCTGCTACCCCAATCCACCTCAGGAAGTAGTCTGAGTCACTGGGCAGTATCGTGAGCACAGATAAGACCTCAAAGCCTGCCTCCACAGTGGCATACTTCCCCCAACAAGACCACACCCACTCCAACAAGGCCACACCTTCTACTAGTGCCACTCCCTTTGGAGGCCATTTTCGTTCAAACCACAGGCTTAATACACGAAGAACATGCAGCAATTGTAAATATATGTGTATTTTAATTTGGAGCACCAAGATATACACAGCAATAACAAACAGCATCAAAGGGAGACACGGCAATAAGGAAAAAGCAGGAGACCTCAACACCCTGCTTCCCAAAATAGATAGATTGTCTAGGCTAACAGTCAGCAGGGAACAGAGGACTGGAACAGCAACTGCAAACCGAATGGTTTTAACAGACATTTACAGACCACACCATTCAACAGAATCTGAATACACATTCTCTCCAAGTGCACCAAAAATATTCACCACAATGGATCTTAGGCCACAAAACAAGCCAGATGAAACTTAAGAGGTCTCCAGCAACATCAGTGATATTTCTCAGTTGCAATAGTGTGTGTCGGAGCATGGTCCAAGAATGGAGCTGTGTGGGGAGACTTCAGAGCGCTTGTGAGAAAACCACAAGAAAACAAGACAAGGCTTTTGTGGTTCAGCCTCTTCGAAAACATGAAGTTGTTCTTGGAATGTGCTGTCGTGCCCCTCCCAGGTGTAGCGGATGAGGTGAGTTTGCTTTAGATTACTCATTACAACTGGCTATTGTCACTTGTTTACATGGCTCTATAGAGAAACATGGTTTTGTCCCATTTGGCTTGCCTGCCACATGCAGCTTGGTTGCATGATCGGACACTTTACTCATGTGACTCTTAACCCTCAGAGTATACATTGTCTGATACTCCGAATAAACTTGGTTCTTGCATGTTTTTGTTTATGTTTAGGCTCCTCTCTCACAGGTTCACAGTGCCAACTAGAGTGGTAAACAGTATGAAGTGAAATTAATAAGCAAAAGACATTGTGGAGATTTGACAAGTCCGTGGGAATTTAATGCCAGGCTCTGAACAATCAATGGGCCCAATTAGAAGTCAAATTAAAATGCTATTTTGAGACAAATTAGAAATATATAACTCCGATTTACAGGATGTAGCAAAAGGAATCTACACAAAGGATTTTGCAGTGATAAATATCTATACTGGGAAAAAAGGAAGAGAACCTAACTTTACCCTTCAATGATGTAGAGAAAAGAACAGACTGAAGCCGAGTGTGACAGAAGGTAAAGGGATGGACAGTATAGAAAAAAATGAGAGAGAGAGAGAGAGAGAGAGAGAGAGAGAGAGAGAGAGAGAGAGAGAGAGATGGAAGAAACCAAATGTCAATGAACCTATAAATTGATTTGGGGGTTTTCTATTTTTTTTTTTAAAGATAAACATGATCTTAAAACCTCCAGTTATAATAAAAACACAGAGATATACATTTTAAGGTAGTGTATTTCAAAAACACATATACTTGATAGCCCACAAGACCCACCCATCGGTATCCATCATAGGAAGATACACTGTCAGATGGATCTGGATCACTGTGAGATAGCTCCTTGGAGACCATGCATGAATTTCAACAGGGCACTGCTTCGGGGATGTCCATAACACAGAATAATACACAGATGTAGTAAGTCAAAACAAGATTGTTGTTCTAGCATGGCTTCAGTGAAACCTTTTTAAAGGTGTATTTATTTACATTATCACTGCATGTCTATATGTTAATTATGTGTGTGCAAGTATCTGCAGGATCCAGACATTGCCATCAGAGTCCCCAAACTGGAGTTATAAGAGGTTGTGAGGGCCCAAAGTGGGTTCTGGGAACCCAACCTGGATCCTCTAAAAGAGTATCAAGTACCCTTAACTGCTAGGCCATCTCTCCAACTCTGCATTTTGTTTTATCATAAGAAATGCAAGATTGAAAAAAATGGAAGCATTCTATTCTGTACAACAGTGAAAAGTTCTATTTTGTGCATTCATCATATTTATATAGCTATGCATGGATGGACAGATGAATATGTGTGCACTTGCACCAAGACATAAACATATATGTGCCACAGGACTTGAGGGGGGAAAATACATGCTCATACATATTTATATGGATTATTGGGAGCAGGTGGTTAGTGGTTGAGGAAACAAGGAAAAAGCAGGAGTGGAAACCAAAGCTCACCTTTCAGGTTTGGGAGGTTGGGTTTGCTCTTCTCAACAATGGCGTGGTACAGTGTTCTTGGTGAATTATCTGGGATACAGTTTATCGTTGCAGCCAAACTTAAGAAGAAGTATGCCTTGACAAAATTAAATTTATTTAAGAGATGCTGGTGGCCAAGAGTAACGAGAATGAGAGGCAAGCCTCTGTTCATTAAGTCTTCAAGCGCCTACACAGGAGACGGGGAAGGGGAGAAGCTGGTTAAATATCTTCTCACATGGTAGTTTTGGTCCCATTTCATTTTTCCGATCAGGTGTCGGATGAAGCATCAGACACGACAGTTCTGTAAATGGCAGAACCACTCCAGCTCCTCAACACACACACACACACACACACACACACACACACACACACACACACACACACATCCTGCCCTGCCACATAATGAGCAACCAAACCTGGGGTCAGAGTGAGGGAACAGATTCCTTACCAGCTCGGGGAGACCGCAGAGGCTCGACAGTCACACACCTATAGGCTGTTCCCAGTTACCGTGAGTACAGACCGGACAAGAACAGGAAAACAGTCTCCCTACCCGACTCAGCATCCATGCTCAATCATGCCCTTCCCCAGCCTCTCTCTCCATCTCATACTGGCTTCCTCTGCAGCCAAGACTCTAAAGTTCATTGGATGGCCTGCAGGGGTGGGCAGTGGAAAATCGCACGGCAGTGCAAGTGGTCCTCCATTAAGGACCATCAGCAGCAATCATCCTAGAGACCGCCTGTCTCCCCACCTAGTCATTCCCCACCCTCCTCTCTTCTAAATTCTGACCACCCCATTCCCTCTCCCCATCTACCGGGGGCTGAAAATGTGTCTGTGTTGTTTACTGACTCATGTTCAGTTGACAGACAACCAAAATAATACCTGGCACGTGGTGGGCTCAAGAGATTAAAGAGATCTTTTTTAAAACTGGAGGCCAGTGAGGTGGTTCTGTGGGTAAAGGTGCTGGCCACCAATCCCAAGGACCCTACATAGCAAAAGAAAACCAATTCCCAGAGGTTGTCTCCTGAGCTCCACAGGCATGCCATGGCACGTGCCCCACTTACCCAAATAAATAACAAAATGTAAAGCATAAAAAGGAAAAGGAAAACCTAAGTGGATCGGACCCCACTTTTGCTCAAAGCTCTCCAATGGCTCCCCGTTTTGCTCAGCTAAGAGTCCATGTTGCAATGTCCCTACAAGACTTCTCAGCTTGACCTCTCTGACCTTATGTATTACTGCTCCTCCACCATCCATGCAACTCCAGCCACACTAGCCAGGATGGCTATCACCAACCCAAGCAAGTTCACTTCAAGACCCCTGCACTTGTTCCCTCTTTCTAGAGGATTCTTTCTTGAAATTGCATGAGCCCCATCTAGTTTTAAGAGAAGATGAACTTGCTCACTGCATTTGATTTTTACAACCCCCACTTACCACAATGCTCCTAATTCCTTTTGCACACCCATTGCTGGGTCTTTTCCAATATACAATGTGAGCCACTTCTTTGTGTTTATGGTATTTATTTTCACTAGTCCTGCCCATTAAAGTGTAAGCTCTGTAAGCACTTGGTGTTGGCCTGTGACGCTCACTGGCTATGGTTGCCAGCCATAGAACAAATGGTGCCTTGGATGCAACAGACTATTAATCATGTTTGAACTGATACAGAAAGAAGATGCTGGGGCTATCTATTATAGAAAAGAGAGAAACTACTTGCCTTACATAAACAAGAAAATAATTCCATCATTTGGGAGAATTTGAAGCAACCGTGACAGGTGTGGGCAGATTAGGTGCTTTGGTCTCTGCTCCTCCTCTCTTAATCTATTCTATGGATTGAAACCAATGTGTGTGGAAGAGCAGATGTGGAACACCCACTGGGCCAGAGGGGCAGACCCACCATGCCACCAGGAAAATCATTAGCCCGCCCTATCCAGAGAAGAAACTACAGACTGGCTGGGGATGAGGAGAGGGAGGACATTTCTCTTCTCTTCCCTCCTCAGCAAACTGATTTAATGAGCCTTGACAATTACACACAAACACTTGAGGATCAAAGGAAGATTAATTAGTAATGCTACTTAACACTCCTTTCTCTCCCTCTATGCAGAGAACGCAAAGTGTAATCTGAAGAGTCTTAAGCAGGCCAACAGTACTGTTTTAATTAATTAGCTAATAGAAATTGGGTTTCCATTATGCTGTCAGTCTCTTTTTGAGTCAAAAGAAATGATCAGACAGACATTCTTTTCAGACCAAACACTGCTCCATAAGAAATGTGTTTTTAGGCTGACCTGGCATTTGTGACTGGAAAGAAAGAAATATTCCTAAACTCCCCAAGGTTTTGGAACACCTAAACATGAATATGAATTTTTATCTTCCTAATACCAGTCCTTTCATTTCAGGCAGCTTGCTTATGAATTAAAATAAAATCTTAGAAAAAAATATTGAATGATATGAAACATAATTCAAAGTGGACTTTATGATATAAAATGTACAGTAATAGAAAAGTAGTAAGATTACATTTAACAAAGAAAGGCTCTATGCTTTATCAAAATTAAAGAAAACAAAAATAAAGCAGTTTTGAGGATATGGTTTTTGAGTTACTTAAAATAAATACCTTATGTATTAGCTACTTTTGATGCTAGGACAAAAATGCTCAAAAAACCAGCTTCAGAAAAGAAGGGTTATTCTACCCCACAATAGGGAAACCACTGCATCAGGAACATGGAGGAATGCGGACACACTACATCCACAGCCAGGAAAAAGAGAGTTGAATGTTGGTGTTCAATTTGCTTTCCTTTTTTATACAAAGCCAGTACTATATGGACTGGAGGCTGAGGAAACCCTCTTCTAGGTGGATAGTGCAAAGCTGGCAGCTTCTTGGTAGCAATAGGAGTTAAGCTCTCTCCCTCACAACTTTCCATCTCACCTTTGGCTGGTAGAGTCTTGCCTGCAGGGCACTTTTCTGACTTCCCATTGTATAGCACTGGGTATCCCTTTAGTGTGCTAATCTCTTTACCAATGACGCCGCTGCTTCCTCAACAATAATCGTGTGAACAACTTTAAATGCTCACACACTCCATTCTGTGAAAAACTTGACATTTTTCACATCATTCTGTACCATTTGCTGCCCCGTCTCTCTGTAAATCTAAGTGAAAGCAGTCAGCATTACCCCATGCCACAACACAAAGCCACCCTGTCTTGAAATGTCCTCTGCCAAATAAAATCTTTCGCTGCTTTTGAATCTAGCTCAATGAAGTTGTTAGGGCACGGGCAGAACACAACCAGATTCTTTGCCAAAATGCAACATGAATGGCTTCTAATCTAATTCACAATAGAGTCCATGGTACCCTCTGAAATGTCATGAGCCAGACGTCCATCATCCACAATTTCTTGGCATTCTGGTTTTCCAAACTCCCACTAGAATGGACCACTAAGCTCTATACATAACCTTCTAGGGCTTCTCTAGCCTGCAACTTCAAGCTCTCCTACGTTGGTCCAGCAAACAGCTTCTAACAGCCTAAGCTCTACATGATCAGGCTTTATCAGCAACAACTCCACTTTGGGGACCAACATTTTTGTATTAGCAACGACCACTTTGGGGAATGTTTTTTGTTTTAGCTACTTTTCTCATGGCTCTGACAAGATACCTTGCAAAGCAAATTAAGAAAATAAGGGTTTGTTTGGGCCAGTTGGAGGGTCCAGTCCATCATCTCAAGGAGGGAATGGCAGCAGAGGATGGCTGGTCACAGTACATCTACCTCGAAGAAGCAGAGTGATAAGCACTGACGCTAGGCATTTATTTATTTAAATACTTGTTCTCTTGCATTCAGCCCAGGAGCTGGGACCATGGGATATTGTTGATCACTTTTAGAGTGGATCCTTTCTCTTTAGTTAAGCCTTTCTGGAAATGTCCTCTTAGACACACCCAGAAATCTGTTTCCATGGGGATTCTAAATCCAGTCATGTTGACAAGGAACATTAATCACCACAGCTTAATTAAAGACAGAATGCTGTTTGCTACCATCAGTTAATCAATCAATAAATCCCATGTATATCTATCTGTCCACATTAACTGTTCCTAGATTACTGAACTCATGTCTTCTCTGTCCACAGCACCTCCCCTAACCATTGTGACAAAGGTCATCCTAGAAGGCTTCCACGTAAGCACTTTAAAATGCTAATAACATTATTGGGTTTTTTTTAAAGCTGTTTTTAAAAATATTTAAATGCCACTAGGAAATCAAATGCTTAAATACCAATTTTTTGATGGTTGACAGGTGTTAATAGACAATCTCATCCTCATTTTGCAAAAGCTGTTGGGGAAATCAGAGGAGCTACGTGTGAAAATATTACGTAATGGTACACCCTGCAATTGGTAGGTAGTCCCAGAACTGAGAAGAAAGGATACAAGTAGCAGCCATATTGAACACGTGGACTGCTCCAAATAGGAAGAAGTCCTTTAGTTACCATGGGAGTCTGTTGTTGCCTTTTAGGTAACCAAGACATTTGAATAGGAAAGCCGGGGACACGTGGCTGGACCAGCCAACTGAACACATCTGGTTCTAGAAGCCAGAGCAATCACTGCTAGTTATTAGCCCAGACATCAAGTCAGTTTGACACAATTCTAACTTCAGCTTCAGAATTTTGTGATCAAAACCCTATTAGCAGACATTGAGAGAGAGAGAGAAAGAAAGACTGGGAGGTCAAGGATATCCTTGGCTACACAGTGAGTTTAAGGACAGCTTGGGCTACATGAGACCTTGTCAACAATAGAACTGGGGAGGAAGAAAGAGAAGAATACATATAGAAGAGTACATATAGAGCAGGATTTCAAAATCAAATACTGTACCTGCCAAAGAGGGTGAAATGACTTGGAACATTTGCACACTAAATATTGTTATTACCTGTATGTTGTCTTTATTGAAAAGAGGTTTTCCAGAGTCAAATGATTGAGTTATCTGTCAAAAATATAAAATATTAACAGTAGAATCCATATTCATTTGAGCATTCTTTTAAATGGAAATATTACTGTATCCTAAAGTCATTTAAGCACCATTTTGTTGTCAAAGTAATACATGATCTAGTCAGAAATATTAGTATAAAAAAAACCTAAAAACTGTATATAAGTCAACTTCTTTTAGGCAGTAAATATTAGTATTCTGATGTCTTTCCTGTCCTTTTCTTACTGATTATTTTTTAAATTATATACTCATTCATATTCCATTTTCACTAACAATTATCTAATTTTATTCCTACAAAATTGGGTGACTTGCAAACCTCAGTCTAGAAGGTACCAATAAATATAGCATAAGAACTGAATTTCTTCGCTGTTTTGAGTTGTGTAGTGGGGCCAGTCCCCATGGTTACATCATTACATCATCAGGTAAAATAATATCGGGGAGCATTTTGAATATTGCCTTTGGATTGAATCTTAGAAGGAGTTCTGGGTCAGAAGACAAGAATATCTCAAGGAAATGGAAAGGGGCTGGATCAGCTCCCATGCCCAGCCACACCACGTGACCGTGCTTCCCACCCCTCCCATCCACACCACGTGACCGTGCTTCCCACCCCTCCCATCCATACCACGTGACTGCGCTTCCCACCCCTCCCATCCACACCACGTGACTGCACTTCCGGCAGCATCAAGTGATAGTCTCACTTTTAAAACTGTGTCATTTTGAGGGGAAATTGAGTCGTTATTTCAAATGACTGTGCTTCTTTTCCTTTTTGTATGCGAATTGAGTATTCATGGTCGGCTCTAATTGTTCTGGCTCGGGGGAAAGAAATATTTGTTCCTGCAGGAAAATGTAGTATCATGGAACAGAATGCATCCCTTTTCACCCTGGCAATCCTTTTGAAAACATGTACCTTCATAGGAGACAAAACTGATTCAGCTTTCCTATCTCCTCGGTCTCCAGGAAGTATGCAACAGCTTCCAGGGACAGACAAGTCACTTATATGTAGCATAAATCTTAAGAGGTCTTATTAATAAAAACAAACCTGGAGCCAGGTACTGGGGTGAATGCTTAAAGATCAGAGAGACAGAACAGGCCACAGCTACCTCGCCTTGCCAATTCCTCAGCTGATCCTGTTTCCACAAACTAGAAGCCTCTGAGTCCTAACTCCAATGAATCTCAGCTGAACTGCTGCTAAAAATCTAAAAGCTTAACCAGGCTCTGGTTCCTGGTCCTCACACCTTATATACCTTTCTGTTCCCTGCCATCATTTCCTGGGATTAAAGGCTCTTGTCACCATGCCTGCATGTTTCCAGTGTGGCTTTGAACTCACAGAGATCCGAATGGATCTCTGCCTCTGGAATGCTAGGATTAAAGGTATGTGTGTCACCATTTTCTGGCCTCTATGTCTATCTAGGGGCTGTTCTGTTCTCTGACCCCAGATAAGTTTATTAGGGTGCACAATATTTTCGGGAACACAATATCACCACACTTATATGCAGGTGGTCTCCTAGCTCAAGATCCTGTATCTCTGCCTGAGGACATTCTGTGGTCCAAAGAACATTCAGGGGAGCCTAGTAACTCAGGGCATTAATGTTCCACCCAGTCCGAGAAACCCAGAGAAATGACATTTTCACTAATGCTCTTGAACTGGTTCACTCCTGTTGCTGTGGACTGTTCCTTCTCACTCCGAATACATTCTGGAATCTCCTCCCAAATACACTGCTCACTCCCCAATCCTTCTCACTAGATGCCCAAGTCAAAATACCTTAACATTGTAAGTCAGCACCGGTACTACAGAATTCCCTTTCTGAAGGTACTCTTATTATCTATGAGATACTGAAAAACAAATGACTCAAAAAAGGGACCCTTCCTTGATATAAATGAAGGGACTCCATAATAGGATGTTATATGTAGTGACAAGAGGGAACTCTTGATACAAATATATGGTACAATATAGAACTTTTTGAAGTACTGTGAAGAGTTGAATGGTAATCTATAACTCTTTTTCAGCTTCTTCCTTTGCAAGTGAAACTAAATTCATTAAACCCTTCTTTAAATAACTGGCCTACAGCCTAATAACATTGGCACCTATTTTAATTATAAACCCTGAAAGCATTTTCTCTTTTAATTACACTTTTAAATTCCCAGTTGAAGGTGGAAAGCTGCAAATTAACTCTGAGAATACAAAATTTGAAGTCAGAATCCACCGGGAAATGATTCACCTACACATTCATCTTATGAAAGTTACTAGATGAAAATGAAGTTTGGGATGTTCCTGTAAAAAATGGCTTCTGAATTTTTCATTGTTGTTTGTTTTCTTGAAGGACATGGCCATTGAAAACTCTTGTTTTGCAATCCATACACATGTTTTTCATCTTTTCTTCCTGGACTGTACATTTGAATGATGCTAAATTCATTTCTCTCAGCTTCTGTTTTTCGTAGTCTGCTTTGGTTCCCAGATTATTTCAAGTCAACATCAACTAATCCTATGTCTTCGCTGTGGTTTTAGTTCCTACTGCTGTGACGAAATACCATGACCAAAATCTATTGGGGGAAGAAGGGGTTTATTTGGCTTAATTTCCTCATCACTGTTGATTAATAAAGGAGGTCAAGGCAGGAACTCAAGCAGGGCAGGAATCTGAAGGCAGGAGCTGATGCAGAGGCCATGGAAGAGAGCTGCTTACTGGCTTGTTCTTGTGGTTTGCTCAGCCTTCTTCCATATAGAACCCAGGACCGCCAATCCAAAAGGTCTGGGTCCTCCCACATCAATCACCAAGAAATTGCTCTACAGGCTTGGCTGTAGCCCGCTCTTACAGATGTATTTTCTCCATTGGGTCTTCCTCTTTTCTGACGATGATAGTGTTTATCATGTTGGCATAAAACTAGTCAGCACATCCTATTATTTTAAATCTCAGTGTTAATACTCCCAACTTCATCTATGCAACTCCAACTGGTTCCCTGAATTCCAGACATTACTACTGTACACCGTGGAGGCTATGCCACCTAGCTGTCTATGGATCTCATATGCAGCATGTTCAATGCCTCCTTCACAGTATTTGAAAACTACCTGCCAACTGCTCAGACTGAATACTCTAGTCATCCTTGACTTCTGCCCTTGTATTCCACCCCCAAACACCAGTGTAATGCTGCCAGCTCTTCCTTCACAACCTATGTAGAAGTGGAACACTGCTCACCCCCCTCCACTATTACTGTCTCCCCAATAATCACTGTCACGGTCAGATTCCCTGGCTCCTGAGTCCTCCCCGCCATCCCTCCTCCCTCCTACAGCCTCACTGGGCTTACCTGGTCTTCCCCAGTAATATTTCACAAGCATCTTCCCGACGGTCTTTGTTCCACAGTGACATTCAGTGCCTAGAATGTCAGTCCCCCTAGATCTCTGCTTGGCTCATGTCCTTCACAAGTTGCTAATGAGGAAAAGCCTTCCAAAAACACCTGAATAACAAAACAGCAGCCCACCGCCCAGGCCAGTCTTCTCCCCCTCATCTCTGTTGGACTGTGATCCCAGCACATCACTACCTGTCACAGAGACATGTGCTCAAAGTTTATGATCTGCCCCCCTCACTGGAAAGAAAGCTCCAGAAAAGCAGCAGCTCCGTGTAGGTTTCCCTCTCCATGCCTAGAACAGTGCCTGCATTCAGGAAGCACTCAAGAAACAGTCTGAATCTATTAAACTCTATTTTTAATAACAAATGACAAGCTGTTTATAATAATAAAATACTGTTGACTGGGAGACAAGCAGGAAAGTAGTACTAACTTAATCCAGACAAGAGGATAAATTCATTTACACCACAGGAAATGGATGAATACTTCTCTCCTAATAGGTAGTGCGCTGGGTAGTTCTTTGTCAACTTGGTACAAGCTAGGGTCATCAGAGAGAAGGGATCGTCAATTGAGAAAATGCCTCTAAAGGTTGGGCTGTGGGTAAACCTGTACAGCATTTTCTTAGTTACTGGTTAATGCAGGAGGGCCCAGTCCTTTGTGAGTGATGCCATCCCTGAACTGGTGGTCCCGGGTTCTATAAGAAATGCTGTGCGAGCCATGAGGAGCAAGCTAGAAAGCAGCATCCCTCCATGGCCTCTGTATCAGCTCCTGCCTCCAGGCTCCTGCCCTGTTTGTGTTCCTGTCCTGACTCCCTTCAATGATTCACTAGGATGTGGTAGAAAAAGCCAAATAAACCCTTTCCTCCCCAAGTTGATTTTGGTCATAGTGTTTCATCACAGAGAAGTAGGCAAGTCATAGACAGCTAGGCAGGCATACATGCACACATCCACTAAATATAGATATAGATGTAGATGTAGATATAGATGTAGATACATATACATATAGATATAGATATGATGCCAGCTCATAAGGGTGATTTTCAAAACTTAAGTTCATTTTGTTGATTCTTTCAGGTCCTCTAAATTTGAATTCAACTTCTTCCTACATGTGTCTGTTGGTCTCATGCTCACACAAACCAGATCCCCCCGAGAGTGACCTGCTATATGTGTGTGTGTGTGTGTGTGTGTGTGTGTGTGTGTGCGCGCGCGTAAGGGCTGCATGCACATGTATGCAGGAGCATGTGTCTGTATGTGCACATGCGGAGACCAGAGCAGGATGTCAGGTGTCTTCCCCTATCACATATTTCTTTGAGACAGGGCCTCTTACCAAGTTAGAGGATTTCTGCTAGGCTGGCTTGTTAATGAGCTCCTGGGGTCCAAGGCTGGGGATACAGGCACATGCAGCCATGCCCAGGGTTTTGATGGTGGTGTGGTGATTTGAACTCTAAGCCTCATGATTGCAGACCAAGTGCTCTTCCCCCACTGAACTCCTCAGTAGATTGCTTATTTTTTTAATGTGCGAACTAACTATAAATAAATTTTTCCATATAATATATTCTGAACGTGGTTTCCCCTCCCCCATCTCTTCCCAGATTGTTCCCACCTCCCTATTTGTCCAACTCCATGTTTTTTTTCCCCTCTCTTTAGAAAACAAACTTGCTTTATTGCTAGTTTTCTGTTTTAAATATATATGCTCAAGTGATGAAATTGCTACTTATAATGAAATCAAAATTCTAATCAGCATCTGCCTAAAGCAAGGTCACCCAGTGAGTCCCAGATCACCAGGAAAACCAAAACAGAAGGATATAATAACTCACTCCAATTTAATTTATCTTCTCGCTGTAAACTCAGTACTCGTTTTCAAGGATGCTTCAATTAGCCAGTTTACAAATACAAATTAAGCAACTCAGGTAAAACTATCTTCTAAAATCAAAATAGATCACACAAAATAAAGACTGTTCTCGAAGAGAAATCCCAACAACACTGAACGGGGAGAGAGAGCTAGCCCAGGGGCAGCACCTGGCTGGCATTCACAAGGCCCTGGGCTTCTTCCCCAGATCCAAGAGAAAGAGGAGGACAAGGAGGAGAAAGAAAAGGGAGGAGGGATGGAGATTCAAAATATCCAAATAATATATATGGAGGGATCACTGTGACGAACAACACTGAACAAATGTGATGGGATCAGATCTACAGATCTGGGTTCCATTGGCAGATGCACAGATAAAGAGACCACTGTGATGCCTGTAATAAAACGCAACATACGGTATACCCAAGCCATGATGCCACTGTAACAATCTGCTCCAAAACCACACCCCCTCCCTCCTAGCACCTTCCCACTCCAGACAAATGGAACTTGATTTTGCTGAACCAGACTTAACAGCCAGGGCTGAGCATTGGAGACTTTGAAACACACCTCTGTGGGAATGTTCCCTGGATTTCAGGAATGCAGCCTCCGGAGATTTATATTTATAATTATAATTTATAATTATATTTATAATTATATATATAATTATTTACATAAATATAGCTTTCAACCAGTTTGAGAGGTTACCTTAACTTTCACTGTAGCTTTGTAGCCAGCAGGGATGGCGCATGGCATGTTTTTTCCATAAAAAATCTGGGATAGCTCAAAAAAGGCCTCAGAAAAAAAGCCTAAATCTATAAGGATTTCGATCTGTAAAAGAAAGAAAAAAAAAGATTTTTGTGTTAGTTTCTTTTGCTTATAAAATACAAGTTGGAGAGAAAACTCATCAGGTTCTGAGACACGAAAGGTCTGCTCAATGGTGGTAGTGTGTAGCAGCTCAGTCTTCACTGATGAGTGAGTGAACACTAACACTGCCTAACGTGCTTGTGAAAATGCCTGTTTACCTGTGCAGTGGACCAGAACGCTCCCCGCAGCTGGGGGCTTTCAGAACAACAGGCTCTTGCCAGCTGTTGCTTACATCATCAGAGGCAGCCACAGAAGTATAACAGCCATGGAGAAGTTTTAAAAATTAATTGAACTTATCTCTTTGTTCCCATGGTTCCCATGGGAAACTGGGTGAAAACAAAGTAAAAATACTCCTGATGTTCTTGAACCCTCTGAGGAAAGTCAGAAGAAAGCACAGTGTGTCAACACAGAGACAGCTCTTCATTTTCTTATCTATAATTAACAGTGTCAACTTTAAAGGCATATGATTAGCAATTTTAACCGGTTGATAGCTGTACATTCCACAAGGCTTGTTTTGAATACAATTCAGTTAGTCTAAATCCGGAAATTACAGGAAGGGAAGCCGGCATTCAATATGCTTACTGAACATCTCTTGGACAGCATGTCCACTTGAAGGTTAGAGCCCCCTGAGATTCATAGTTAACCAAATGCTAGTGGCACATGTGGGTCTTGCACAGGAAGAGGAAGCTTAGAAGGCCTGATAGTGGTGACACACACCTTGAATCCCAATGCTCTGTGAGTTCGAGGCCAGCCTGGACCACAGAGCGAGTTCCAGGACAGGCTCCAAAGATACACAGAGAAACCCTGTCTTGAAAGAGGGGGGCTTAGAGGTGTTGACAAGATTCTGCTCCAATAGTGGGGTCTTAGAAAATTCAATGAAGAAGTACCCTTCAAGAGAAGAGTCGGGAATCATGAATGGAGAGAGAAAACATACTAAGAGGACCCTAAGCACCAAGGCCATGGGCTCTGTGTGACTGGAGATAGAGGGGGGCGGTAGAGAGAGTTAGGAAGTGGGTACAGGTGGGAGCCAAATACAGAGCGTCTGTAGACCACAGTAGAGATCTCTTTTTGCTATGGGAAAAGGAAGTTTCCAGAGTGAAGGGGTTGACAGTGAACACGTGAAATCCTAGTGCTTGAAGGGCAGAGCGTTGCAAGCCAGCCCCCATCAGACAGAGTGAGACTCTGCCTCATAAAAACAAGGACTGAGGGTGTGTCTCAGAGGACAAGTTCCTGCTGCCATATGCAAGGCCCCACATTCAATGTCAGCAGGGGAAATAAGTTACGGAGACTTTGCACCAGAAAAGGTCCTTACATGATTTATGCTTTGAAAATGTTCAGGGACCTTGTGAGGGCAAGGATACAAATGAATGGATACAGAGAATAAAGCAGAACTTGGATGCATACAACACACACACACACACACACACACACACAACCCCACCTAGAAAAAGACAAATCAATTTATCTCCAGCACGCCAATACACTCTAGTTTCTGTTCTCCTTTCCATTCTTGATTTAGGAACTTCAAAAAATGGAAAAAAACAAACAAACAAACAAACTTTAAGGAAATAAAAAAGGGAAGTAAGGGGAAACAGGTTGTAAAAATAACATGAAAATAAAACATGAAAGGCCAGAAGGTTGTTTTTAATGGGAAAGAGAAAGTCACTTGTCTATTGAGCTGTGCACAGTTTTTGCTCAAGAGATGGTGGTCCCTTTCCCTGCCACACCAACCCTGCTGCCATCTAATATCAAAGCAAGCACTTAGGGAGATAAGTAGACTCTTCTGGACCCCAGGTAGCCATTGCTTTCATTGACCTCTATAAGAAAATATTCCTGCAGACTTCTGTTGGTCAGCACACTGGACCAAAACAGCATCAGCCACGGCTGCCTCTGACTTCATTTCATCCTGTCAATCTAAGCGATTGAAGTTACGGTGACCTGCACTGTGGACACAAGCCAAAGGACAATGAGAACTAGTCATCTACCAAACCTTCATATGCCTTCTAAGGCAGCAGTACCCTCCCTGGAAATATTTGAGATGTTGAGAATAAATCTTTGAAGGGGTTAGTAGGTCTACAGTGAAACAGAGCAGCATGTTATGAAGAGGTCTTACTATGTTCCCTGGAAGACTCTACTGGACTCTAGAAACTTGACCGCAAGATCTATCCATCACAGCCTGGTTAGTCAGAGAGCATCATTACTTGGTGTTTCCCACCTCTGATGTTTCTCTTTCACTTACTTACCCCAGTTACTTCAAGAAGGTCACACAAGTCCTGTTCACACAGACTGTCACCTCTTTCTCTGTGGGATCTATCTTTTTGCCTTGCATCTGTCAAGACCCAAGTCCCAGTTTTCAACCTTACTGTGCCAATAGGCTTTCAGGTCTATCTTACACGGCTCCCAGCAGTGTTGGCAGATACTAGATCTAGTGGTAACATTCTCCTGACCACCATTCTGTCATGAATATCCCTTCTAGCCAAACCTCCAGAGAACATGGTTTTTCACTGGCCTCAATGCTATTCTATGACAAAATCATGACCGAAGACCAAAGAAAGAATTCTGTCTTGGTTTACCTTGGTGAACTATGAGTTTATTGAGGTTATGTACAGGCTCATGGGAGACTCAAAGGCAACTATACCACCAGAAAGTGCCTTGAGCAACCCATGGGCAGTTACTGAAGTATCCATCTGAAGCATGGACAACTCAGAAAAAAAATTACTTTACCAAAGATTCCCAAAACAGCTGATTGTTTATCTATAATGTTATCTCCAGGAGGAGACTGGTCTTGTGAGGCAAGAACCTCTGTATTCCTCCAGGCAGAGAATGTTAACAGGCCTGTTCTTGGTTCTTGAGGGTCGTCTGCTCTGATCCAAGACCGTCTGCTCTGATCCAAGACAGCAATGGTCATGGGCAACCTGGAGGAAACAGCTACCCAGCATAGCTCTCTGATATTTCTCCTGTTATTTTCTACAATCTTCCTGCTCACAACTTCCATTTCAATAGCACAAAACCACTTCTGTGCCTTAAACAACTCAAAACTTTCTCACCTCTCCGTCTTTCCAAGAATGTTCTCTTTCCCACTTACTTAGCTGTCTTATTTTCAAGCCTAAATTCTCCGAATTTGGTGAAATACTCATACCTCAAAGCCATTTGTTTCTTGGTCAAACTTGTGGGAACAATTCTCACCACACTCGCTTGCTAGTAATCAAGTAACAGGTGCATATGTTCCCAACTTACAGTGCACCCCATCTTTCCCCCAGTGTTCATGTCCTTATAATCAAAGACTGTGGGTTACATGTAACACCATGCCTTTTAAATAAGAGGTATTCAGTAAATCTTTTCAAAATATTATTTATTTAATGGGGACTACCTCTGTACCTGTATGAGAGTCGGGACAACTTGTGGAAATCCATTTTCTCTATTCTCTGGGTTCCAGGGCTCAAACTCTAGAATATGTGTGGCAGTGAACACACACATAGACAGTGGGCATTTGACAATTGTCTGTCTACACATTTAAAGTTCAATCTAAAAATCAACTAACGACTATCAAATATGTGAACTTATTACCCAAGATAATAGAGGGAATTAAAAGATGAAAAAGATACAGATCCTAGCTGCAAGAATACTGCACACTTGATGAGAGGTCCTCCTCAACCTAAGGTCCTCCTTAGGTTTTTAAAAATGTGGGGTTAGAGTTCAAAAGCAAGATAATCCGTGAGTCAGTAACGCAGGTAGAAAGCCGGACATTTTCAGGGTCCACATGAATATTTATGAAGTCCTTAAACATTTATTTAGAAGTAGAAAGCAATGGACTATTCTCCAAAGCCCAAAAGGTCTAGATGGAGATATGGGTTACAGAGAAGTCCAATTTCTCCTCACTGAAAAACAGGAAGGATTTGGGGGAAGAAAAGTAGAGAGCTTCCAAATGAGGGGGAAAGTGGTACACTGGAACGATGTCTCAGGGGCTGTGTGGAAGTGACTGGAGTAATATCCTGGAGTGCTGTGTGGAGGTGAGCTGGAGCAATGTCCCAGAGTGCTGTGTTAGAGGTGAGCTAGACTAATGTCCTGGAGTGCTATGTGGAGGTGAGCTAGACTGATGTCCTGGAGTGCTGTGTGGAGGTGAGCTAGAGCAATGTCCCAGAGTGCTATGTGGAGGTGAGCTAGACTGATGTCCTGGAGTGCTGTGTGGAGGTGAGCTACACTGACATCCTGGAGTGCTGTTCTAGAACCTAATCTCTTCCACCTACAAGACCTGGCATGCATCTCTTGTCCCACCTGCATCTCCAGTGATGCCTTGAGGACAATGCAGTGGGAACATTTACATCATGAATGAAAATTGCAAAGGTATAAAATAATAATAAGATAAAAGATCAGAAAGTGCTCTTAACCACTGAGTCAACTCCATCCCTTATGTATATTTTAATTTATAAATATATATATGTGTGTGTGTGTGTGTGTGTGTGTGTGTGTGTGTGTGTGTGTGTGTTGTGCCCATGGAGACCAGAAGGACATTGTTGACCCTCTGAGGCTGGAACTAGAGGTGGTTGTGAGCCACTGGAAATGGGTGCTGGGAATTGAGCTCAGGTTCTCTGGAGGAGCTGTATGTGCTTTTCACTGTGGTGTCAGCTTCCCAGGACCAAACTGCATTATTTTATGTCAGTATGATACCATGTTATTAACAGCTCATTTATAAAAATTAGAATCAAATTGATGCAAAACAGTATCCTTAGAAGATAAAGAACGTCAAAAGAATTAAACGTCTGTAACATACCTTGAGGATTCTTACTTCTAGATTCCTGACTATGTCTTGGCAAATGATAGTCACAAAATACTGGTACAATGCAAGGAGAGGCAGAACCTACCAGGAGGAAAAAAAAAAAAAAACATTCTCTGATTTAAGATATAACTTATCAACTTAACAGACTAGTAATCAAGTTTTGCCAAACATTAACTGTAGGATGTATTGTACAAAGTATCATGTTTCCACATTAGCAGAATAAATCACTTTGTATCAATGAAATGATCTGCCTGGTTATGTTAGGTACCTCTCTTATTATATCGATAAGACACGTGGCAGAGGCAACTACAGGGTGGAAAGGTCCATCATAGCTGAGGGATACAGGCCATCCTGGTGAGGCAGGCATGGTGGCAGGTGCGGGAGGCAGCGGGTCCACATTGTAGTTCAGTCGAGAGGCAGCGAGATAAATGTGGACGTTCAGCCTGTGATTTTTTTGCTTTTTTTTGTTTTTGTTTTTGTTTTTGTTTTTTTTAGTTCAAGCCCCAGTCCGTGGGACCATATTTAAGGTAAGTATCTCTATTGCAATTATCCTCATCTAGAAAGCCTCTCACAGTTATGCCTAGATGTTTGTTTACATGGTGATTCCCAATCCCATCGAGTTGGCAACCAAGATTATCCACGGTATTAGCATATGCTTCCTAATTTTACTAGACCTTAAAGATGCTATCAGAAACTTAGAGTTCCCAGATTGTGTCATTTGTGACCCCAAAGCAAGGGCTCACATCTCTAAGTACACAGGAGTTCAAGTACAACTAATTATCCTCTTTAAAAAATATTAACAACATAAGTGTGTGAGGACTATGTGAAAAATCCTAGCAAACATGCTATCAGAAAATGCAGAACTTAAGTCAAAGGACTTATATTCACGCCTCCTAACTAGCTCTCGTTCATTCATATCAGTGTCTCCTGCAATGTCTTCCGTCAGGCTCTTCCCATGGAAAAAGTGTTAACATGCCTCATGTACTCCGTGAGACACTGGTAAAGAGAACAAAGTTCTGACTACTCCCAGCCTTTAGACAGAACAGACTCCATTGACTAAACCCAAGCTCTCTCTCCTCCTTGTATCTTTATTGTCCTAGAGTTAAAGCCACATCCAGTTATTCTCGAAGTCTTGTGCCCATGTGAATGGCCGTAGACTACCAGCATCCCCCTTGACTGCAGCACTCTCCATCAAAGCAGGCGGTGGTTTTGCCTGGATATTGGAACAGCTCCCAATCTCAACTCAGATAGGAAGCATATTCCTGCAACTGCACCCGGCATGCCAAAGGGTGGTGAGATCCCCTTATTATTATACCTTCTCTAGACTGAGGACTGAAACAAGGGCCTTGTTCATGCTAGGCAAAAACTCTGCCACTGCACTCTATCTCCTGACGTCTCTGACTTCCATTGTTTACTTTGAGATGTGTCTTCCTAAGCCGGCTACTGTTTAACTTGCCAAATAGCCGAGGCAGGCCTTGAACTTGTGACCCTCCAGTCTCAGCCTCCCGAGTAGCTGAGACTATAGGCCTCAGCCAGCCGACCTGGATGAGTCATAGGATTGTCTCAGAGCAAATTTTTGTATTTTACAGGCGTCTCATTTGCCAAGTGGTTTCTTCTCGAGGTTAATGTAACATAAAACAGAAACTGCTCACTGCTTCTGTCTGGTTGGGGGAGATATCTAACGGTGGGTCAGTTAGAAGCAATCACATTTGTACAAGATTGGAATTGGTTTTAAATGACTTTGAACGTGATACACTTTTCTACAATTATGCACTGCAAATGTAAAACAAAACCCTTTCTACAATTAATGCAGCACTAAACACCAAGAGCAATTACCTTTGAGATTTAGTTTCTTTTCTTTAATGAGAAATAAAAACACACAATTTTATTGCTGCAGTTGCTCAATTATTCAGGGAAAAAAAATCTCAATTTCTGAAGCTTTAGAGGGAAAAAAGTCTCATTTCTTTTTGAGCACAGTGCTATCTATTATATATGAATATGGGGAGGCAGCTAGGGTTTCCCCATGGGATGGAAGCATGTCCCAATCCAGAAGTGAACTGCGCGACAGGAAGCAGAGTATTATTCGATTAGGTTTTTTCTTTTTTTAGTAAACAATTCCTTGCCAAATCTGCCCAGTGTTGGACGCACTCATCACCCTCTTCACTTTACTGCACGGTTTTATAATTTAACAACTTATATCCATGGCGATAAATATTTTTAATATAAGAAGAGAGCTGGATCGAGGAGAACGAGTACACCATGAGAATAGAAAACGTGTATATGAAAAAGAGGAGACAGGGAAGCTGTTGAAGATCTGGAAGAGGCAGAAAAGGAGGAAGAATTGCTACCAAAAGCAAACGTGAAAGGGAGTAGACATTTCAAAAATAGACAGAAGAGCATACAAGAAAAAAAGAAGAGATGAAGCAGGGAAAATAAAAGCGGCCAGTGTCTAGAGCATATTAATTTATTTTTAAGTGCATTCAGCTTCAGGTTTGTGATACACACTTTGACGAGCTGTATTCAGACTTTGGGGTTCTGGAGACAGTAAGGAATCACTGGCCGCCTTTTATCTCACTGTTAGAGTTTGCTGCTCTTCAGCGCATCTTTGACAGAGAAGAGACAGGATGTGACGGAAGCTGAACTCATCTCGAGGTTTGGATATTGACAAGGACTGTGCCTTCACTCCGTGAGTCTTAAATGCCTCTGATTCCTGTTCGGCATCAGCGAGGCATTCCAGTTGATCTCAGCAAATGTCATGAGAGAAAGAAGAAGGAAGGGAGTAAAAAAAAAGACAATAATCCAACAGATATGTAATGCAAATAAAAATGTCAACGAGAGTCTACGATGAACACAGTTTTAGAAGTACAGGGAAGAATCTGGAGCATGCACAGTTTACAAGTTGTAGTAGAACTAACTAAATACACGCCAGTGAAATTTGGAAAGTGAACAGTAAGTCAGGAAATATATCACAGTGAATTAAGAGGCTTTAAAAAGCAGGGGAATTAAAGGCGTGCACTTGGGAAGCAGAGGCAGGCGGATCTCTGTGAGTTCGAGGCCAGCCTGGTCTACAGAGTGAGTTCCAGGACAGGCTCAAAGCTACACAGAGAAACCCCATCTTGAAAAACCAAAAAATAAAAATAAAATAAAAAAACAAAAAAAAAGCAGGGGAAGTAGAACACATGTGATATAAAGCTGAAGGGGGAAGATTCAGGTAAAAAGTGTAAAGCCAGTAAGGAGAAGAGAGAGATTCGGGAGGTGAGGAGAAGAGAGAGATTCGGGAGGTGAGGAGAAGAGAGAGATTCGGGAGGTAAGGAGAAGAGAGAGATTCAGGAGGTAAGGAGAAGAGAGAGATTCGGGAGGTAAGGAGAAGAGAGAGATTCGGGAGGGGAGGAGAAGGATCAAATATAATTAAGATTGTATGAAAAATCCACAAGAAAGCATGACACAAGAGAGAGATTCGGGAGGGGAGGAGAAGGATCAAATATAATTAAGATTGTATGAAAAATCCACAAGAAAGCATGACACTTGGTAAACTAATTTAAAAAGCAATAATAAACGATTTTTAATGGAGGTGGCCTATGTGGGCAGACAAAGCTCTTCCGGACGACACAGGTGACTAAATGTCAATCCTAGAGCAGGAGAAGGCTACCGACCTAGGAGTCTACAGAGGGCTCCCTACGGCCCCCAGAGCAACACAGCGGATTTCATTACATTGGTTGCCCACCAGAAGTAGATGGTGAGACCCTGTTGATTAAGATACCATATGTGGTGGTTCTAGCAACAGAGAAATCAAGCTGGAGATGAAATGAAGCTTCCTCCTTGCTGCCTGTCCCTTAGAGTACCAGAAGCTGCCAGGCCAGAGGCTAGGAGAGAACTGTCAACAGTCTTACTCAGCCATGGACCGCATGCTACACAACTGACCTACCGTAAAAGATGTGTCCGGTGGTGTAATAGTGGCGGCCCTGTTATAGGGGTGACGAACCGCTTTCTACTCGGAATTGAGACACAGGAAGGGATTCACATTTGGTACTCAAAACTGGTCAGAAGCCTGCAACAGTAGAGTCGAGGCCTGAGCAGGGAAGCTGCTGTTGGGTTTGCTAAACGGACATGGTGTGCCCATCTAATTGCCTTCTAAATAATTGTATTTATCCTCATCCCTTAGTGCTGCTGTCAGCTTCGGTTAAAGAAGCCAACCTTCTTTTTGCAGAGAGCAAAGGTAACTGCAGAGACTTATCACCGGTCAAAGTCTTGAGGAAAAACGACAGCTCAAGACTTAGGCCATCTGTCTCCTCCAGAGTTCAGAGACCCTTATGGAGGAGAGGACAGAAAGAAAGTAAGAGTCACAGGACAGGGTAGAGGGTTATGGAATGTTATCTTCTGGGCATGAGGTGGCCAAGGCACTCTTAACACACAGCAGCTAGGATTACCTGTATAAACGTGCACACAATTCAACCCAGCAACAGCTTGTCATGGCATGGGAAGAGACTCATGAGGGCCTCACTTCTCCCTGAGGATTTATAGGCAGCTAGGGGGAGCTAAGACAGGAGAGTCTCACAAGACCCTAAGGATCAAATGATGGTTAGGGGTAGGGTAGGGACATTTCCTTCGGCCATGTAAACACTGTTAAGGTTCCCCCACTCCTATAAATCACCTCTCACCACTGTTCCTGTAAGCGACCCTAATAGAACTCATTGAATCATCAAAAAACAAAACAAACAAACAAACAAAAAACCATAAAACTATAAGGGGTTGAGAGGATCTAGCTGGGAAGAGAGGATCCCAGAGAGTAGGAGATAAGAGGCACTAATGTGGGAGATGAATATGATCAAAACACATTATAAAGATGTCATAATAAACAACATTATTGCATGGAAGGTAATTCATGATACTAACAACATTAAAAAAGCGTTGTTGGCTGGGCGGTGGTGGCACACACCTTTAATCCCAGCACTCAGGAGGCAGAGCCAGGCGGATCTCTGTGAGTTCCAGGAAAAGGCACAAAGCTACACAGAGAAACCCTGACTCGAAAAACCAAAAAGCGTTGTTGATTTTACAAACCACTCACTGTGAGGTTGTACTTAGCGTAGTGCAGTTCACGGATGACGTAGTATAGAGTTGCAACAACACTGGAGATGTCAGCCCTGAATTTATCCGTGAAGAGTTCGATGCCTGGGAGGAGCTGAGTGATTTCGTACTGAGCATAGCTACGTTCAGCTTTGGGATGTGGGAGTGTAGTACGAAGCAGACTCTGGAAAAATGAAAAGTGGTGAAATGAAGAGCCACGGTCTCACCTGCACCGATGAAATGAGCGAGTGAAAACAGGTGCCTGCACCACTTCCTGAGGGGTTTTGTGTGTGCTCTGTGTACTGCACGTCACAATAAACGGTGCTTATTAATATTATTGTCATTATGGATTCCAAACGCTGTTTTCACTCCAGGTGGCTTTATAAATTCCATTATAATAGTATACTTACTGTTTTCAGAGAAAATATCACTATATTATCATTTGGTGAGGCCTGTGTTGGCTGCTTCTGGTAAATTCTGTACAAATATTATCTCACTTAATTCTCAACTAACCTACTCTTAGAACAAAGGATTGTTATTTCACAAGTGGTACCAGTAAGAGGCTTAAACAATTAACTTATATGAGTTTACACAGTTAATGATAGAATAAAAAGACTCCAAGTCATATCTATTTAACTCACAGCACTATGATATTTGAGTATGTCAAGTTATAGATTGGGAAGATAGACTTGAAGTTCAACCAGGCAGAGGAGATTCTAAACCAGTATCTCTTATGTAATTCAGAGACCAGCAGTATGCAACATGTTAGGAAAGCAAGACCTATTTATAAAACCAAATTTTATATTTGGACGTATTTATTTGATTATTTTAATATGTAACCAGTTGTTGAAGACAAAACATTATGAAATTATTTTAATGCATATTATCCAGGAAGATTTTTCAATTGGATCACTTATTAACATTATAAGGCATCCAATTTTCAAAGATGAATACAGCTGTTAGAAATTTTAATGTCTCTTCCTTTGCTTTGTAAAACCACTTTTAAAATCAGCTGGCTTCTCCCCCTCCCTGAGGACTAGCTGTTATAGTACTGGAACATGCCATGAAGGCTTCCAAGGGAGGTAAGCAACCAACATTCCTACCTGGCTATGACACAAACTACAATAATGACCAGCATGGCACAATACACTCAAGGGTGGAATAGTGGCATTTCTATCTTGGCTGTAACCAACGGTTCCCTTAATTGTACTTAAGGCCTGCTCAAGAAGAGGAAAATCAAAGTTATGCCTGGTGCTGGAAACCTAGTCAAATACTCAGAGCTGGTGAGGTCATTCTCTTAGAGGAGAACCTACTACTGCCATGTTACTATGTCAGCATCATTCCTAAGCATTATCTTTATCCTCATACCCATAGAGGAGTGTAGCTCTCAGACCGACAGAGACCACAACTTGTCAAAATGCAGATAACACCTGATCATAGGGTGCCGATGGCTACATCTACAACACAACCCCTGCTCAGAAGACTGAGGAACATTGAGGAAGACTGGGACAGAAAGATTGTGAGAGCCAGAGCACCAGGAGCACCACTGGGAGATCGCATCCCTGGAAATGACAGGGAAGCAACACCCGTGATACCTGAACAGGCTGCCCAACAGGACCAGAGTGAGAACAGCACCAACAGACACACTAACATGGATGAAGGAAACCTCCCAGGATCCCGCCTGTACACAAAGAACTACAGGCAGCTAAGAAATGCTGAGACTGGGAGAAACTGTCTTCCCCAAGGATGAGTCCAATTTGTTATGATAAATCTGATTTGTTACCCAAAACCGAGTGGTCAGTCTTGAAACCACATACATACAAATAACACTAAAGGGATTTAGTAGGCTATAGTCATATGTTTGGACATATATGTGTAACAATAACCATGAAATAAGAAGAAGCCGTGAATTTAAGAGGGGGGCAGGAGGGTGTAATTTGGGAGAGATTGGCGCTAAGAAAGAGAGGTGAGGAAAATGATAAAAATTTTAAACTAATTAAAAAATTAACCAGTTTCTAAAATAAAGCTCAGAGGCTCATGTTTATTTGAGGTGTGGCATCACTAATATAGTAATATTTAATAGCACACTAAACAAAAAGTTAACCATTTTTAATTGTGCACTTTGAGCATAAATGTCTAAGCAAGGAACCAAACAGGCAGCTAAGGCTGCAGCATGGGGGTCAGAGCCAGGCCGTCAATCCCACCGCTCTTCACGCCTCTCGCTTCCCTTTCAAGCACACATACTGGACTGTGAGGAAACTGTAAAGTCTGGCCTCCAATTTGAAGAAGCCTTTCCCAAAGAAGCTATCTATCCAGATTCTAGAAGCCATCCGTTGACTGTGACGCACACAGCAAGGGCATCTCTCCGTCTATCAGCACCAAGAGGACCTCTGGCAGACTGCAAAGGCCCTGGTTATATCCCGACCCTCTGATGTCTCATGTTCCAGGTGAAAGTATCTTTCTTCTTTAGTGAGACATCCTGAGGAACACAAACACTCCTGTGGCCCTAGATCGCTTTATCACTGGCCTGTACTTTTCGGTACTCTCCCATGGAGCCGAGCACAACCTTATTTAACAGAGATGAGGGAAGCCCTGGCAACCATGTGAGTCAGGCAGACTGGCGCTATACTGGTAACCAGAAGGTATCCTACTAAACACAGGAAACTCAGTTTCCCTGTGTATAAAACTGTGTCCATTAGAGGAAAAAGGAGACAGAAATGTGACGGTTCCCTGTTAGCAGGGAAGGAAGGTGCCAGCCCCTTGCCGCCAACACAGGAAAGATCAGCTTGCGGGTTTCAGTAGAGCTCACGCTATTCTCCTACCTGCAGTTTTTATGCTCTGGATAAACCACATCTGTTTATGATCACATGAATGGCTTTCTCACTCCCAGGAAACATACGTAAGCCGTTACCTGAAAAAGCAGTGCAGACAGGATGCAAGCGTTGATTCTCTTCTTAACATTTGCGGTCTTAATAAACCTAAATAATGATAAGAAAAACCAATTAGTAGACAACATCCCACAGTTTGGATATGCATGTATTTGAAAGTGTATCTAGAACCCAGGAAACATTAGGGGACAAAAACATGCAAGAAAGCTTAAGGAAAAATAAAGAAGATGAAAAATTGCCCTAGATCCTAACACTGGGAATGTTTCAGTTGATTTTCTTCTAGACTTTTTCTCTTATCATCACACACACAGAAACAAAAACATGTTCATACTAAGATTAAAATTATACCATAGACACTATAGACTCAATACGTATTACATAAGCCACTTTTCTATTCATGGACTTAACATAGTTACTTTAAAGAACTATAGTGTTTTAGTGTGTAGATGTATCCTATTTAAACATCTCAACTTCAACTTGTTTTTTTCTGCCACTGCTAAGATAAATGTAAGTAAAATTATGAGTGCTTATTTTATTAATTCCACCATGTAAATCCCTAGAATTGTCAAATTTTTTGGCCAAAAAAAAAGAGGAATAAGAAGGTTTTAGGTGAGTGTGGTTGAGTAATCGCCCTCAAAGGCTGGGGCCATATGGTGTGTTACCATTCACCACATTAAGCCTTTCCAGCCAAAATGAAAACCATGCCTCTCCACTATGACTATTTCCTCTTATGTCCCTTGGAGGAGTTTGTGTTTTCTTTATGTGACACTTGCAACCTGCCATTGCAGCTATAAACCAAATTACCTCCTCTTAAATCTTACTTAGATGAATAAAACCAGGCAGCTGGCTGGGCTGTAGGGACAATACAGTCCATCTGAGGTCATCTGTGTGGGTGCCAGAGGTGGGGCTGTGCACTCAACAGTGTCCTCTGCTCTGAGAATATGAGATTAGATAGTCCCTGTGGCCTCAGTCTCCTCTGGGAGACTTACAGCTTACAGCTAGGAACAGGAAATGACTTTCTTGCTTGAAATCACTAGGTAATAATTTCAGAGGCTCCAAGCTGAGGTGCCCTCAGCAATGATTGTCTCTTCCCGTGTGCCAATCTTCCTCTCTCTCTTTTCTAGGTCTCACTCCATGCTTTACCAAGTCCTAAGTCTGCTGTAGGTGTAGATGTGAGCGTGTTCACGAGCATGTGTGTTTGAATGTGTGTATATGCATCTGTTTGACCTTAGTCCGAGGATAAGTTCCTTCCCAGGGGCACAAAGTCAAAACTGACAGATGTTCTTTCATGTTTAATACTTTTACAGAACTACATTACTTCCTCTGCTTCCAAAAGTGCCAATTTTGTGAAAGCTAAAAGAAGTTTTGTTATTTAATATGCCATGTAATTCAAAATACAGTGTGGACTTTTCTTTAGCATGCCCTACAGGTGAACTAAAGAAGTGACTGGAGAAATGGTACCTCTCCTACTCCGGACTTTTGGAATTTCCTAGTTATTGTGTGAGATGTTAACTGTACACAAAGCATTGTGATAGACATTTATGTGTGGCAGGCTGAATCGCAGCCCAAAAGACACTTGGACCCTAATCCCAAGAACCTGGGAAAACATTACCTTTTATGGCAAGAGACAATGCAGATGCAATTAGATTAAAGACCTTGAGATGGGGTGAATATCTGCCTTTGTCCTCACTGGTCCAGTGGAGCCACAGTGGTACTTGTGAGAGAAGGACCAGAAGGCCCGAGGAGCAGAAATGCAAGGATGGAAGTAAAGGTCAGAGAAAGCTTTGGGGGCGGGGGGCAGAAATGGTGGGAAGAGAGCCAGGTATTAGTAGACGGCCGATGTTAAAACTTCAGGAGGGTCTGTGAGCCACGGAGCAAAAGCAGATCCTAAAGCAGCAAAGGTCCAGGGAAGAGACTCGGCGCTACTGTTTGTGGAGGAGGCATAACCCCACAACACCTTGACTTCCGGACGTTTGAACTTCCTAACTGTAAGATGATAAATGTGTACAGAGGTTGGGGCTGTCGCTTAGTGGTCAGTGCTTGCGTAGCATGTGAGGAGCCCTGGGTTAATCCTTAGCACCACAAAGCAACAGAAATTTGTTTTGCTTTAAAAACAAAAACAAAAACTGTAGCAACTTGTTACGGCCATGGTAAGGAACAAATGCTACTGTGTGATAGACTGGGAGGTGTGCTGTGGTATAACTTCCAGTAACCTCAGAACGTGAGTACCCTGGAGACGGGGTCTTTAAAGGGACACTCAATGACAATGATGGCATGGGTCAGGGATGGACCGTAGTCCAACATGATTTGTGTCCTCCGAAGGAGAGAAGAAGAAGATTTAAATACAGGCAGAGTCAGAGAGAACACCGTGTGAAAACGCAGAGAAATGTGACCACCTACAAGCCATAAGAGAGGTCTCAGAAGGGCATCAGCCAACATGTCAATCCCAGGCATCCAGCCTCTAACTCTATAATATGACAAAGGTCTGTAGCTTGAGGCCACCAGTCCACGCTACTGTTGTGGCAAATCAAGCTCGCTAGTCCGGTGGGTTGTGTGAGTCTCCCCAAAAAGTCTTTACACGAGGATGCTGAATCTCAGAGGACAGATAACCCCCCTGAGGACGCGGGGTTCCTGGGATGCTCTCAAACCTGGCCTGGGTAGCCAGCCTGCATGTTAGCTATCCTCCTGCCTCACACCAATGACTCCCTGCACCCATTCATTATGTACGCACTACTGAAAGCCAACTCCACACCAGACACTCGGGATGATGCATGAATAGAGAAAGAAAAGGTCTGTGCTCAGGTGGGACTCATCTCCCGGGGGCCAGAAATGCCACGGGAGGAGAGGACAGTCGTAAGTGAAAATATCACGGCACGGAATTGCATTGCCCTGTAGGTGGGCGTGACCACAGAGGAGGCGGAGGTGGGCGTGGCCGGCACAGGACCCATCCCATGCCCACACTCACTGCGCTATCTTTGCTGCTATCACTGCCCCTTGTAAACACCCCCAAATGCCCAGCTTTGATAGAAACTCTTCACTGTAGTCTTTGAAATCAGGAGGGGAGCAGCTGTTGGTGGCACTGCGGAGGGGGGTGGTGCCGAATTCCTTCCAGGTGTGCAGCGCATCTGGCTTTCTGAATATGTCATCAAGAGCTTGACACCAGCACTTAAAAGCGGCCCTGAGAGGGAAACAGAGCAAGCAGTGAGTGGGGTGTCCTCTGAGGCCAGTAATGAAAGCAGCCCCCACCCCCCTTCCCCACCAAGAGGGAAAGCAAGCAGCCCGAAGATGCGGCCACTGGAAATATTAGAGGATAAAACCACAGGGTTTTGTCCCCTTTAGCATCTGTCTCAGGTCATGTGACGAACAAAGCGATTCCATGCAATATTATTGTAGAACTAGCACTTATGGAAGAAAATATTTTTCCTAATTAAAAAAGAAATCAAACAAACAATTTGTGTCTTTGCTAACTTTGCTAAGAAAGCACTACCTTTTCTTCTCGGCGAAGATGAAGAGATTTCCGAGTGCATGCAACACCTGGACTTTAAGGCTCCTTTGGTTGCTGGCTTGGAGAACATCTGTATTTTTAATCAAGTCCAAGAACAAATGTCAGCCCAAAGGGAAATATTTCCTTTATATTTGCAAGAATATTTTCACCCGCATTATTTCTTAACTGTGTAGATGGCAGTGAGAAAAGCTTCGAGTTAATAGTGTTTTCAAATGTCACACACTATATATACCCAGAGAGAGAGCAAACGAGGTTCTGTTTGAACACCGGAGAACGGGAGATTGAGTCTAATGCCCCAGAAACACAGAGGCTCCATGGAGGAAGCGCAGTGAAGCCGTGCAGGCAGAGCTGGTTGACGAGACTGAGGGAGGAGTGGGGGGAGGCTACAGCTATGAGAAGGAGGGGTGGCTGGGGTTTAACTTTCTAAAGAGAGTGAGTGCACTGGGACCCTCGCGAGGGAGGCAGTGCCTAAGTTCTAGAGGCCCCAGAATGCCACTTGGAGAGGTGGCTATCAGACTGTCACAGACAGGAAGGTCCCAAGAGTTGGTTTTCAGCAGAGAGCTGACAAGATCCTAGCACATAGGATTTTTCCTTTCACCTAGACGCAGGGTGGTGGGGAATATTTTTTATCATGCACTTTTTGCCTTCCTAATAAATGCATAGGTAATTAGGCTTGTCTAACCAGAAGAAACGAACCGACAAGGCAGGAATTTCTAAGCGGGGCAGCCCTCTCTCCTAGAGGGCATTTCTGAGACCTGTGAGCTGCCACGAGGCAGCATCACCTGGAATGCTGCAGGTAACAAGCAGAGAGGCAGGATGCTCTGCAGAAACTTGCCCCACAGTGACCAAGAAAAGTAAGACCCCTGTTCATGAAGGCCAATATCTAACTTTGTTTTATGGGTGGTTTGTTTTTTTTTTAAGAATATTTTTGTCGTATTTCTAATCACCCTGGATTTTCCAGAAATATCACCACTGCAGTGTTTGGTTTTGTTCAGAACTTGATTCACCAATACAGCACACCTGGGTGAATCTACACCCATCATCCTGGTGATTCCTCACTTGAGATGGTTAGCAGCTGCCTGATGTGCTTTCTCATTTATATATTAAACCATAGAATCTAATTATAGAGTAAGCTTGTATTCCTCCTTATTTTATCTTTACAGCTCTGTACTGAATATTCAGAAATCACGTATCCCAAACAACATATGAATTACAGATTTTATTTTAGGAAGTAAAGGGAGAGTTATATGATGTCTGTTGCAAAGGGGTTTGTCCCTGGGCATATAATGTGGGTGAAGAACACACTATTGGGTTTTTAGAAAAGCCACATCTCAGAGAAAGATATGAAGAATGAGGTTATCTATGCCAATGTCACCATACTCATGAGAGGCTCACAGTTCCACCAAGAGAACTGGGCAGAGGAGGGGCCTACAGTCTTACAGTGGTCATAGCCAGGCGAGTAACAGCAGGAGGCCAGAGGCATCTTCTATCTCTAGAATGTTCTATCATAGCCTAAAAGATTGTGATGAACGGACCGTACATTCAAGTTCTTTCATCGTTCTTAAATTTTTTAAATTCACTTATTAGTATTGGGGGGAGGGTTGCAGGTGGGCACATCCCACAGCACACGTGTGAAGGACAAGAGGACAGCTGGGTGGAATCGGTTCTCTCCTCCGCCTTGACGTGGGTCCTGAGGACCGAACTAAAGTCTCCACTCTTGTGCACCCAGCACTTTTACTGGCTGAGCATCTCGTCTCTACAGCCCCCGTCCTACTTTTGAAGGTGAAAGTCCTGCTTTCAGGACCAGAGGCGATCTCAGGCTAAGACCGGGGGCCACACTGACAGTTTGGTAGTGGGTTCGCCTTACCGATGGTCTGGTAGTGGGAAGAAATCACCAGCCCCAGCTGGGAATAGGGAAGTTTGCTTTTCTCCACGGAGCTGAAAACTCGGAAGTTTTCCTGAGAAAGGTCAGGGGGTATCGGCATGTGCATCTCTTCTGTTCCCAGGCAGAAGTCCACCTTTCCCGAGGAGAACTGCGGGTTGTTGGCCCCTCCTCTGTCTCCTGAAAGTGTGGGTGGAACACGGGAAACGTTAAGTAGAGAAAGAGGGAAGAGACAGAAAGGTAAAGGAACGCCAAGGGAGAGGAGAGGACAGGCTTTGGTATAGACATTGGCTTTTCCACCGTCAGGGGATGCAGTCTTCTTAGCCCTGGGGTCCAGGATTTATACTGGAGTCTGCAGCTGTTCAAGTGGATGGGCTCTGTACTTTCATGTTTCAGGAAAAGCACTACTGAGGGGCGACCATCCAGACTAAGACACTACAGAAGGACAGGCAGACAGGCTAAGATACTACGGAAGGACAGGCAGACAGACTAAGACACCTCAGAAGGACAGGCAGACAGGCTAATGCACTACAGAAGGACAGGCAGACAGACTAAGGCACTACAGAAGGACAGGCAGACAGACTAAGACACTACAGAAGGACAGGCAGACAGACTAAGACACCTCAGAAGGACAGGCAGACAGATTAAGGCACTACAGAAGGACAGGCAGACAGACTAAGACACTACAGAAGGACAGGCAGACAGGCTAAGGCACTACAGAAGGACAGACAGACAGACTAAGACACTACAGAAGGACAGGCAGACAGACTAAGGCACTACAGAAGGACAGACAGACAGACTAAGACACTACAGAAGGACAGGTAGACAGACTAAGACACTACAGAAGGACAGGCAGACAGACTAAGACACCTCAGAAGGACAGGCAGACAGACTAAGGCACTACAGAAGGACAGACAGACAGACTAAGATACTACAGAAGGACAGGCAGACAGACTAAGACACTACAGAAAGACAGGCAGCCAGGCTAAGGCACTACAGAAGGACAGACAGACAGACTAAGACACTACAGAAGGACAGACAGACAAAGACACCACAAAAGGACAGACAGACAGGCTAAAGCTGAGCTACTACTCTGCCTCTTTTGCAAGCTGGGGGGCGTCAGAGGACTTGAGAATGCCTTCTGAAAAACAGTTCCCTATAGTTAAGATTTTAGTTCACCTCTGGGACAGAAAGCTCTTGGAGAAAAGCAACATGTTTGTAGCTCTGACCTGAGACAGGAAGAAAGGCATGGAGAAAAATCTATCTTGTTAGAAGATCAGAGAACACAGGGAAAAAAAATGGGCCAGGGAAGCAATGTGGGGGAGCCAAGGGAGAAGCTGTGATCCAGGGGGGCTGCAGTCCACAACCTGAGGACTAGGGATGAACTACTGAGAATGTTCCGGTATCGGGTGAGCTGGGAGAACCGTCCTGAGGAGTTTCCCTTGATTTTGTAACTCATGTCTTCATGCACCAATAACGTATCTAGACATTGGAGGGTGTAAATACGATAGGGAGAGTTAATTTAGTGTACTCCCCAGAGCTCGTCAATGAAGCTAGGCTGGCTGGCCCATGAGCAAGCACCAGGGAACCACTGACTCAACTGTGGCGTTGAGCGGGCTTTGTTCTACAAGGACTCAAGAGATGAAGAAGCCCAGGTCTCGATACTCGTATGACAAGCATTTTACCCTCTGAATTATCCCCAGCATCCATACTTCGTCTTTCCTCACCCCTCCTAAAGGTCCTCCCTTGTTCCTTTCGCTGGCCCCCTTCCTCCCCTCCAAAGACTCCCTTCTGCCTTCATGCCACAGAAACCCTGTCGCTCTTTCTTCCTCCCTCTCCCAGTCCCTGTAAAGGAAATTTTAAGGATGCTTATTTTTAAGTCCATCTACTTCTTTGAGACTGATAAGTGGCACCTGGTGAAAGGTTCTGCTTAACTTGGGATGAGTCAGCCATCTCTCAAAGGATGGTTATCAGAGCTCTACACCTGCCAGGAAAGCCCCAAGAACTCCGAGGCACAGAACCAAAACTTTAATAGACACCATTTTGCTTTATGCCTCCCGTATTCCAGGAAGCTGGCTAGCTGAGCAGAAAGTTTAAAGGCAGGTCGGGTGTCTTAGTTGGAGTAAAGTGTAAGAGAGATGATAAAATCTTCTAGACAACATGGGAAAGGCTGCCAGGGGAGAAGCATGTTGCCACGAGAAGATTGTGAGGCCAGGACATTCTGCAGGATGGTTCCCCGTGTAAGTCCAGATCGAGGGACAGAATAGACCTTTACCTTGTGTCTGTGCAATAAGTAACGAGAGCAGCTTTCTGCTGTGCCGGACTGATCTGTTATGATACTTGGACTTTTCCAGGCTCTCTCGAAAGCATCTCAAAGTGTCTGCCACGTCCACAGGCACACAGACAAGCTGTTTGGCCTGATTATGTTCTGAAACAGAGGAAAACATTAGGGATGAGTTACGACACAATCCCACAAGTCACAAGGCAGGTCTAGTTCAGAGACCTTCTTGGCCTGGACCCAAAGCTGCTGAATTCAAGGGCCCTGGTCTATAGCAGGCATTTGATGCATAGATGAATTTTGTCTTTTAGCATATTTCAAAGTTCTTTTTTTTAAAGAAAAGTTTTAAATTTTTTTATCCTTAAGAAATGCAAATAACTTTAGATCTTGCCAATTTTCCTTATGAAGCCTCCTACTTTTTCATTAAAAAAAAAATGTAATAACCTACTCCTTTCCAACAGCCTCTTCAAAGCCCAGGTGCTTTGGGAAACAGACGAAAGGAGGCAACAAAAAAAAAATCTTGGAGACTGGCAGCTGATCTCAGAAGGGAAGAGAAAGGCGGGTCCTGAGAGAGGACAAGCGGCTGAGGCCATGCATGGGGCTGGATCAGGTGCTCTGGCGCGCCCATGCCAGGAAAGGGAGCCCACAGGAGAGTTGCTGCTAGGCCTCTGGGCAGTGAGGGTGGTCCAGGAATTGGACTGGGCTGGAGGTGAGCTGCACACAGACCAGATAAGGCCTGTAGGAGAGTGGACTTGCAGGATTCCGCACTGGACAGCTAAAAGATTTACTTCTTCAATAAGCTGAACAAGTAGAATGTCCCAGTAAGAATTTAAGGTCTTGATAATGTAGCCACTTCCTAGTTAATAGAACACTAAGAGGTTAAAGGGTGTGGCCTCATCCATAAGAAGTGTCCCGTCTAGCTGATGAGATAAGGCTTTCCAGCACAAGAGGATTAAAGCCACATTTGCCGAGAGAATCTGATTAAATGACAAAATGAGAGAAATAAAGAAGACAGAAATAAAGAGGGGCAGAAAGGGGTACACTGATATCTCTCCAGCCCTAATAAGTCTAATAAGTTACCGTGACTGATTGACTCCTAAACCAGCCATGAGGGGTATAGACCATTATTACCCTTATCTTACAGATGAGGAAAAAAAGGCATGGAGGGGCCTGCCAGATCAGCTTCATAACCAGGAATTCGGGGCGGGGGTGTTCCTGAGAACACAGGGACATCTTGCGCCAGCATTGGAACACACAGGCAGGAGGGATGGTATGGAGTTCCGGACACCGTGAGCAGACTTGGCTCTCCTGTTGAACAAAAGGGTCCGCGCCAGCCCTGAAGCTTTCCTTAAAGGAGATGCCTTTATTTTCTCCAGTGGAGAAGCAGGGACATGCTTCCGGCAGGACTTGCACCCATGGACAGGTATCTTAGAAGGTTAGGTGCCAGCTGTGTTCACGTAGGAGTGGCCCAGAGAGAGGCAGTGGCCAGGAGACTGTCTCTCCTACAACATAAACACCGTGTGACTTCACTTGACTGAGGTTTGTGCAGTGGCCACCAGGGAGCTGCTGGAGGTAACGGGAAATGGTCGGGGGCCTCCATGGTAAAAGAATCATCAAGGGAGGCACCTGTGTCTCCATCCTTTCAGAGCAGGTTCCTTACTGCCCACTCTGAGGAAAATAAAGAATCAAAGCAAGCCAGGGAGATTTGGAAAATATTTATCCAGTCCCTATACCAGTGCCCACCTGCTCACTGAGACCTTCGCTCTAGCAATTCTCAATTGCCCCTCCTTCAAAGTATCCATTTTCTCCTCCATACAATCATTCCCAGCAGTGTATTTTGCTGTTATTTCTCCCATCTTTAAAAAAGAAAAAGATCTCTCTCTTGACTCATTTTCCCCTCAGGCTCTCATCCTATTTCTCCATTCTACTTTATACCAAAATCCCCCCAAAATGTGGTCTGCACTCACTGTTTTCTATTCCTTCCTAAATCAGATGTCTCTCCTCTCTGGAACAAAAGTCCCTCCCCACCTAATTGATCACTCATTCTGGTTCTCTCAACCCAACCTTGGCACCTCAGGCCTCAGTCCTTAGATGCCTTTCTTTCCTTCTTAATTTACACCTACCCCATAAAGATCATCCCTGGTCTTGTGTTTAAATATCAATATTCTGTTGGCTCCCAAGTTTTTATCTCTGGTCCCAACCACCCCCCAAAACTCTCACTCATCTATCTAAAGCTACACATACTCAACCCTAACATGTCCCCAGCTGACATGATCCCAGATGACTTCCTAACACACACACATACACACACACACACACATACACACACACACACACACACACACACACACACACACACACACACACAGGCATGCATGCAGGCACATGCTTGTCTACTCCTTCCAATCTTTCCCGTCTCAGTAGAGAATGGCTCCATCTTTATAGATGTTCAACTAAGAGGTAGAATTGTCTTTAACTCGTCTCCTTTCAGGTTCCAAATCAAATCCATAGCAAGTCATAGAGAATCATCCTTCAGAAAATACATAAAGTCCACCATCTCTCAAGGACTCCTCTCCACTTCCACTATGTCGGGGCCCTGTTACCTCCTTTGGAATTAAAACAATTGTCCTATTGTTTTAAAGGGAATTGGCTTCCCCTTCTACCCCAGCCATGCCTACTCTATGCTCCAGCACTGCAGCAAGCTTTCTCAAATGTAGTAGACCTTCCTTTGTAGGACCACCAGCTCCCCAATAGCAACACGGAGACTTAATATTAACTATGAAAGCTTGGCCTTTAGTTTAGGCTATTTCCCAGATAGCTCTTGTAACTTAATTAGCCCGCTTTTATTAATCTACATTTTGCCATGTGGCTTGGTTACCTCTCCTCCGTACCATATGTCTGACTTGCTCTGCATCTTGCTGGCGTCTCTTTCCTCTCTTCTTCCCAGACTTCTCTCTTTCTCCCTGGAAGTCCTGCCTATTCTCCCCTGCCTAGCGATTGGCAGTTCAGCGTTTTATTAAACCAATCACAATGGCACATCTCCACACAGTATAAACAAATATTCCCACAACACAATAGTTTCTGGAAGATTCCTTTTAAAATGTAAATTCTCCTGTGTCGCTCCTTGCCACAAACCCTTCTTTCGCTCCCTCTATCACCTACAGAAAACACCAGAATTCTTAAAACAAACTATCTGAACTTGTGGGAACTGAACCCTCAACCGCTGCCTGCTTCCTCCTCTTCCGTCCTTCGCCCCCTTCTACAGACGAGCTGCCGGTCCTCAGGCTTCACACAATTGGCTCACTTTGGTCCCAAACATTCTGCTCTCAGATATCCTGAGCCTTGCTCCTAAATTCCTTGAGGTTATTGTGTAGCTGTTAACGTCTCAGGGAGGCCTTCATTTATCACCCTCCTTAAAAGGGAAGCATTTCTCCTCCCAGACCATGCCCGCATTACTGTGATCCTCTGACATGGTGAGCCTTACTTACTTATTGGGTGCCTCCACTAGGATGAAGTTCACTGAAGGCCAAGTCTTTGTCCATTTAGTCCACTACTCGTCCCTAGAACCTGCTACCTGTTACATGATCCATGTCAGAGAATTCTGTTAACAAATTAATGACTGCGGGTCTTCAAAGTTGAACGGCTTGGGCATGTTTTATACATAATCTCTTTTGCAGGCTAATGTCCATGATCCTGCCTCGGTGCCCCACTTCTGTATTCTGTTCAAAACACACCCTGTATTCCTCATACCCTACCCTGTACACCCCTACCCTTATTTACAACGCCGTCAAGTTTGTAGATTGATAGTGGTTTTTTTTAACACTGTCAAGTTTGTAGATTGCTAGTGTTTTTGTTTGTTTGTTTGTTTGTTTTTTATTCCTTGCAAGAATTCATTAGCTTCTAGTTTTACCTTCTTCTGCTAAGAGACTGAGGTCAGAGAAAAAAAATAAATGCCTCAGGAAAGTCTGGCTACCATAATAAAGTACCATGGACCACATGACCTATAAGCAAAAGAAACTTACCTTTCACAGATGTGAAGACTGGGAGTCTCAGACCAAGCTACCAACATGCTCAAGTTTGGGTGAGGGCCTTCACTTCTGATTGCTGACAGCTACCTTCAAGCAGCATCCCTTTCACATCACAAAAAGAGGCCTAGAGCGCTCTCCTGTGCTTCCTTCAAAGAACACAATCCCACTTATGAGGATTCTATCCTCGCGACCTACTCACCTCCTAAAGGCCCCACTTCTAATATCACATTGGAACTAGAATTACAGCACATGAATCTTAAAGAGTCAGAAACAATTGGCCCATAACAAGCCAAGAGAAAGGAAGAAGGCTAAAAAAAAAAAAAAGCCCCACGTATTAGTGAGAGACACACCCATGAAATATCAACAAGACCTGAAAAATTCCAACACCAATTAACATCCCAAATGGATGGCCCTCATCCCTAGATGAAGAGCTACAGAAAACTAACAACAGTTGAGATGGGGGGGAGGAGGGACTGAGTTTTCCCCAGAACTAATCACCCCCCAGCCCTAAGAACATATAATACAAAAAAGCAACACTAAATTACTCAAGGGGTTGTATTTATATATTTATTCATTTATACCTGTATGTGTATGTGTGAAGATAATAAAGAAAAGAGGTGATAAACTTAAGATGGGGGGATAGAGAAGGGGTTGGAGGGAGGGGAAATGATGTAACACTTTAATTTTTAAAATAAATAAAATAATATGAGAGGGAGTTACTTTCTCCAGGCTTAGTTTTAAAAGATCCAATAAATTTGTTGATAGCATTCACCCCAGAGAGTCATTGTTTTGGGAAGTATCTGTTGTAGGGTAGGCATTTGCTTTGTGAGACTCACATCACCACTGCCATGTATATATTTTTTTAAAACAGGCTTGTATCACATCACAACACTTTGCAACATGAGTCCCACAAGCTTACATCATCCAGTGGCATTAGGCATCTTTGTTTACTCTTGGCATACCAGTGAAACCGCCCAGCCGCTCCCTTCTCATAGGTATCCCTGTTGTGGAGAGTCACACGGCTGTATATGGAGCACGTGTGCATGCTGGGCATCACGTGAGGCACTGAAGAGATTCAAGTGAACAGAGCATGGAACTGACTGTCATACAACTGATATTCCA